TCAGAATTAAACTCCATCTGACTGGAGGGCCTGGTGGCAACGTGGTGGGGTTACTCATGGCAGGGTAGCTCCTATAAAATACGACAATGTTGCAACATCCAGAATAAGGCAAGTATAAAATGCCTCAAAACCCTAGCCCCCACACCTTGTACGTACTCCTTGGCTGGAGAAAGGCTAAGGGACAACACCCTGACAGAAATGGACCTTTGCTGAGGCATTAGGTCAGTGCTTCCCAACCTTTTCCTTAGCATAACCCCAGCTAAACATAGGACATTTTTTGCAACCTCAGAATGATGCAGACAAGGTCAATGCTCCCTCCCCCCATGGGTGACATGGCCAGAATGGAAGCTGTTGGGGCGGGAGGGAAGGACGTCAGTTGCCTGCTGCGGGCTCAGGGCTCCCCACCCTGCTTTTCTCCCCCTGGGGGTCTCTGTGGCCCAGTAGGTGGGATCCATTGTGGGAAGGCAGAGTGGGGTTGGGAGGCTTGGTGCCACTGCTGGGAGCCCCATGCTGGCTGTGCCATGGTGAGGCAACCCTGCCTGCCCAGCAACAGTGGTGGTGACATGGAGTTGTGCCCCCTGCTGCTGCCGGATGGATAGGGGGTGCCTCACCATGGTGCAGTGGCTGGTGTGGAGCTCCCAGCAGTGGCACTGAGCCTCCCTGCCCCACTCTGCCTTCCCGCACAGGGTCCTGCCCACTGGGTCACGGAGGCCCTGGGGGGGAGGGCAGCAAAGTGGGGAACCCCGAGCCTGCAGTGGGCAGCATGCATCTGGCCCCACCCCATGCACAAATCTGGGGGGCAGGTGCCATCCCATGCCTCTCTCCCCAAGAGAGTGTGCACAGCAGTGGGGAGCCAGCCCCTCTGCCACCCCTGGATGAGCCACACGTGGCTCCATTCTGCTCCCCCAGCTGGGCCCTGTATTCCTGCCTGGGCCACATGCACAGGCTTGGCTGGGCAGCATCCTCAGCCCTGCCCCACTCCCTCCCTCACCTCCATCCCCCATAGACTTACCTGGAAGGAGATGCTGTCTACGCTGCCTGGCTACCACGTGCATGTGTGTTTGTGCACATGCATGTGGCACCCCCTGCCTGATTGCCCTCTTCCTGCTCCCCACAAGCCCAAGCAGCCCCTTGCAGGCTGGAACTCTGCTAGCCTGCAAGGGGAACCTGCCATGTCTTGCTTTTCCTGTGATTTCATCATAATCAGTCAACTCTGTCAAGTGTCTTTGCAACCCCATTTTTTATCGCTGTGACCCCAAATGGGGCCGTGACCCCAAGGTTGGGAACTGCTGAATTAGGCAGTCAGCAGCAGTTCTTATCTGTTGCTCTCTGGCAGAACCATTGAGGCACTGAATGTCTGGACTCGGTCTGGCCTTTGGATTCTGTCTCAGCAGTCTAAAGGGAGGATGGTAGGTCTTGGGCAGCCTCCAGTCCTCTTGCCTAGGCATATGCATTGAAGGTAGGAGTGCACCGATAAAGATTTTCTTGGTCAATACCGTTTATTAACCAGCCATATTGGCCAATACCAATCTGATAACTGATTTATAGGAATGCAGTCAGGCAGCATGGAGAGCAGTGCCCTGCAGGTAAGTCTGTGGAGGGGAAGGGATGTGAGGAGCATGGGGGAGGCAGATCAAGGCCCCCGCAGTGAGGGAGGGAGTAGGGCAGGGACTGGAGGCGCTGCTCAGCCAGGGCGGTGAATGGGATCTGGAGCCAGGGTGGGGAGTGGGACAGAGCCGTGGGTGGCTCGTCCAGGGGGTCAGTGTCCTGGCACTTAAAAATGGTGGTGGGGGTGCTTGAACTATAGCTCATTAAATGACCTTTAGTTCAAGTGCCACCGCCATCATTTTTGAGCACGGGAACACTTTTAACTGGAGTGGAGTTGAGCAGGGCAAGGGTGGATGCAGGCTGCCCGCTGTGGGCTTGGGACTCTGTTCTGTTGCCTTTGCCCCGGAGGCCCCTTGTTGGCTGTGCATCCCCTGCCCACCTGGCAGCAGGAGGCACAACTAGCTGCCCCAAGTGCTGTTGGACAAACAGGGGACGCATAGCCAGCATGGGGCTCCCGAGAGAAAGGCAGCAGAGTGGAGAGCCCCATTCCCAGTGAGCAGCCTGCACCTGCTCTGTGCGCAAATCTGGGGAGGCACATGCCCCCCCCCCCCCAGCATATTTCCCTCAGGGGAGTGTGTACAGCAGTGAGAAGCTTCCCTGCCCACCCTGCATAGCAGTGGGAAGCTTCCCCCACACCCCAGGTGAGCCACTTGCGGCTCTGTCCTGCTCCCTGCCTCAGCCCCGGGTCCCATTCACTGCCCTGGCTGGGCACCAGGCCCTGCCTCACTCCCTCCCTCACTGTGGGGGCCTCAATCTTCCGCCATGCCCCTTCCCTCCCCCACACTGGTCCCCTCCACAGACTTACCTGCAGGGTGCTGCTCTCCATGTTGCCTGGCTGCATTCCCGACCGTAGGCATGCATCCGGCTGTGTGCATACACGTGGTATCTTGGGGCCCTGGCCAGAAGGCATGTAATATTTGTTGGTGACATTATTAGCTACACTGGGCAAAAAAGACCAATGTTAATTTTCCTTTTATCGGTGCTGAACCAATATGCCAGGGGTTTGCAACCTTTGTGGGTCAGTGTACCCCTGGCAGCTGGATGTGGAGCAGTGTACCCCTGCCAGCCAGACACAGTGCTAGGGGGGAATGGCACACAGCTGAATGTGGAGTGGTGGCAGCTGCGTGCCATGTCCCCCCAGCAAGCAAGCATGCAAGCTTCCCCTGCCCTCCATGTCCAGCTGGGTGAATGGTGCAGCGTGGGATCATGCATGGTGGCTCTTCATCCTCACCCACGCGTACCCCCTAGGGCCTTCTCACGTACCCCCGTGGATATGCATACCTCCAGTTGACAACTCCTGTGATATGCAACTGATATATCAGTGCACCTCTAGTTGAAGGTCTCGGTATGATGGTTGCAGGATTCCATACAAGCAGATTCATCAGGCACCCAACTAGACCTTTTACACGTATACCATAATCCAGAAGATTAACAGTTGCTTACTACAGAGAGGATGTATAACAATGCATAACAATCATTAGCTGTGATTGTGCAAGTGGTGACTAAGAGATGGGGATTTTGAGGGCTTGCAATGTAGTATTCTTTTACCTGTATTAGACTTTTAGGCACATTCCTTACAGAAGTTTATATCAGTGGAGTGAATGAAATACATTTTATTTTTAATTTTGAAACCATTGTGTTGAATTTGTTAGCTAATTAAGTACTGCTAGCTTGTTCCTTATCATTTAACTCAATTTATTTTCAACCGTGACTACATATAAAAAAAATTAAAAATGAGCCCCCCACCCCCCTGGCTTTTATAGCTAAGATGAAGCATGTACCACACATTTGCTCCAATGGGTGCCCTAGGCATACAGAATGCATGGGGCGGGGAGGGGGGAGGAGGGAAAGA